TGTTTGCTGGATAATGTACAGATATTTTAGGGAGAAGCTACATGTTAATCACCTCTGGGATTTAAAGGGTTAGCCTTTTAAACCCCTCATATCTAATAGTTGATTCTACCTTCTGAGTGCTGAGTGGATTCATTCTCAGGTCATAGAGCCGGCATGTGACTTTTTGTTTTCTGTAACATGATAACGCCACTTGCCAGCTATAGGGGTATAAAATCTGATTGTATAGAATGATTATATATCAATGGAAGATTGTCTGATTATATCTGATGAATAGATATTATAATCTGTATATATTGTTTTTCCCTTTTTATAGTGGAATTTCAAGAATATCACTCCTTCCTTTTAATAAAGATTAGAGAAATACATGTTTTTATGAAGTCCAAGTTTGATTGCAGTAAGTTTGCGAGAACTAGAACTATTGTTTAGGACCATTAGAAACCAGTCTCCCTCTGTGACTTCATTTCTTTTCATAATTATTATTATGGCGGACTGGTGAGGTTGCCACGATTGTCGGTCGCAAAGGAAAAGTTGGTATAATGGTGCTAAACTTCACGGGACTTTCCAGTCTCAAGTATCAATTTCATCTTAGTGAAGTTGTTCTCTTGCTCTTGTCGATGCTTTTGGGGATTTTATCCTGTCTGTGGCTAGATGAAGTCATCAAATTGTGCGCTGGACAGTGTTTGTTATTCGCGAAGTTATATGAGCGAGCTCGAATTCTACAAGGTTCTTCCCTTTGGTGGTGCTATTTGCCTACATGTTTGCACTTAATAGCGGTTTTATGCTCATTGTGTGTACTCAGCTTCGATAGAGGAGGAAGATATGGGTAAGTATATTGTTCAAATGCCAGAAATGAGCTTTCAGCAATGAATCGCAAACCTGTGGTTTCGCGAAGGTATCTGGGGTCGGGCAGCAAGTATTTCTAAGTATTTGGCGTAACGATATTTTTACGTCCAAAACACGATTTTGAATATCCACTAAATATATTGTGAAATATAATATTATTATCTAATTGCGCTTCGTAAAGTACAAATAACGCGCTAGACGAGTAGAAGTATCATACGATATTTGTACTCCAGAAATATCCGCGAAATTCGCTCGCACTGAAATAACAATTTGGCGTGTTGGATAATAAATCTCTTATTAGACGTTTTGTTGTGTAGTATCGCTGAGTATTTTTACTCGTTACGGCACAACTCGTAAAAATGTTCAACAATATATTACACAAAAAAACGTCTAACAAGATTTATAGTTCACCACCAAATTTTCTCAGATTGTTATTGGTTTAAATTGATCACGTGACACGAGAGTGTTCATCCTTGGAGCGACACTGGGGAACTTAAGCAGTCGCGACGGCAACACCACAGAAGACGTCGAATAAAAAACGAGTTTCTACTTTTAGTTAGAATTTCGAAAATGGCTGCGTGTGTTTACCGTCTCATAGGGCACCAGACCTCAAACTCAACACAACGCATAGAAGTAGTGTTGAGTTCCAAATGTAAATTAAAATAATTTTCCGCCGTGGTTTTGGTTTGCAGACGAGGCAAATTTTAGGGATTTCACGTTGTTGTTTTGCAAAGGACGGGTAAGAAATGTACAAAGTTTTAAAAGGCACGTGCTGGGCTATTGTTCTGTCAATTAGATCTATTGTTTTTCCACATTCTTGTTGCTCTCACCATCGTGGTTTGCTTAAATTCCCTACTCTCAGCCCATAGTACCTGTCTGCAGAAAATACCAGGATGGATAGTACTCATTCGTGAAAATTTTTGAATGATTTGACGGCTGCGAAGTTAGGCAGATCGGAAAAACAGTGACTTTCAATTCTGACAGGTATAATGTATTATTTAGCCGATTTTCGGTTGGGAATTATTGACATTTGTGACAGGCTGTACGCATGAATAAATATATGATTGATCTGCATTTAGTGGGGTTTGACTGTTTTTCAACTGGCGCGCAGAAGAAAACTTAGTGGTGAACAATAAAGACAATGGAGTGTTTGTCTCGGAACTACCGCTCTGATAGTTGCCCCTTGGAAATTTGATGTTCTTAGAACTAGCATATTTGTTTTAAGGACATCAAATTTCTGCAGGGCAACTATCAGCTGATAGTTCCTCGACTGAAACACTCTATTGTGTAAATAGTAATTATCCAACTGTGACTTAACAGATGATGTACAAATGAGATGAGTACAAATATCATGCAATATTTGTACTCTAGAAATATCTGCGAAGTATCACCCATACTGAAATAACAATTTGGCATGTTAGATAATAAATCTCTTATTCGACTTTTTGTTGTGTAGTGTCACTGAGTATTTTTACTCCTTGTTTGTATTTTGAAGAGCCCGTAGGGCAAGTCAAAATATGGCACAACTTGTTAAAAATACTCAGTGATACTACACAACAAAACATCTAATAAGATGCATAAACTTATCTCCTTGCTTAAGGGTTATGGTAAAATCGGTGTCATGATCTTGCCACTTATTTCCTTTTAGCAACTTGCAGTGTTTGCCTCGTGGCAATCCCAGAAATCTTTGTGCAAACCTTAGGATCCTTATTTTTTCGCAACTCATTCATTAGCTTGCTTTTTTTGTTGCAAAACTATTTTACATTTGGATGACTTTCTAGTGGTAGGATTTTGTGAGTGAGGACTTATTTCATGTAACTGTTGTCACCAATGACACAGAGATTTTTAGAAGGTATTTCCCAGTAAAGATTTTCCAGGTGAATGCTACCAATTTTGGGGGGTCTGAAACTATTTTCTGAGTAAGGGCCTGTTTACATGGAGGTGGGGGACCCCAGGTAGGTGAGGTAACCCGCCTAGCCGTGGTCGAAAAATGGCCCACTTTTACATGCAAACTTACAACCCTTGGGTCCCGGGGTGATATTACTAGATGTTGTTGCATTTGTTGCCTTGCGCTGCTTATGCTATCCACGGCCGATTAGGCAAAGTAACGTTGTTGACAGTGGATGCTTGGGACTCCATTGGGTCATTTTCACTCTTAATCCCAGAATATGCTTGATTTTTATCGCTCTAGTTGCACGTTACACAGATGAAGCCGGCGAAAAAGCTCGCCAGGTTTGTAAGCGCGGGCGGCCATATTGTTCTGGTTCAAATTTGGCTTGCTTTGGTGTGCTTGCAAACGTAACATGAACTTGACCCTGGCTAGGCAGGTTCCCCCACCTTGAGTTGTTTACATGGCAAAATGCGACCCCGGCTGACAGGGTTACCCTACCTGGCAGACCAGGCAACCCACCTAGGCGGGTTACCCCACCTATCATGTAAACATGATCAAATAAAAATGAGAGATTATATGGAGAGGCGGTTACCCCACCTAGGCAGATTACCTCACCTACCTGGGGTACCCCACCTCCATGTAAACAGGCCCTAAGTAGGATGTGACAATGGTGTCACATCCTGAGAAATTTAAACCCTGGCTTGGCTTAGGTTGTGAACAAATCTATCTATTTGCTATGCTGTGCTAGACAACATATTCTATAAAATGTCTTTCTTTTATCATCGATATTTTGCCAGCCTAAGCAAACAAGAAACATCCCACTTGGGATGTTGGGAGATCATTGGAAAAACTTAGAAATCACTTGCCTTTGGCTTGTGATTTATATACTTTCCTTTTGTTCTCCCAATATCCCGCATGGCTCTATCATGTTACAGAGTGCGGAATAATGTGTTCTGTTAGTTTCATATTTACATACTACACCCTATCAGGTAACATGACATACCTGGCTCCTGCTTTCTCCTTATGGGATGACTCTGGAGACCAATTTAGTTGTGCAGTTGGACATGGTGATTAAAGTGTTTCTTTGATGGTTTCTCCTAGACTGAGGATTGCGGTGATTAAAGTCTCTGTGATTTTCAACTCTAAAGATTTTCCCTGCCTAATCTTAAACCCCTTCCTCACTGCATCACGAGAGTACTCCAAATGGAATTTAGCATCATTTTCCCCCTTCCTGAAAAGTGTACTTGATGTAACCTTGGAATGAATGCATATATTGTGTTTTACTGAAAGAAAGATTGTGAACAAATCCAAGTCCTCTTTCCTCAGGTCACAGAGCAATTGTTCAAGAGTCCTTGGTCTTATATCATTATCTACAGTTCTTGTATTTATATCATCTTGGATTATTTCCTATGGATTTCGAGAATTTTGCAAGTCCTTTGTCATTAACAGGTTAGTGCACATTCCTGCATGTTGAACCAGTATTATCCCTTTTGCTGCTGAGATCAGAACTGTAATTTTCTTTACTGTTGACCATTCATTTATTATGGATATATCAACAAAGTTGAAGTGGTAAATTGGCCACCGTAACCATTGGAATTGTTACGGTGGCCAATTTACCACTTCAACTTTGTTGATATATCCAAATTATTTCATTACTCCCACCGACGCAGCCCCAAACAGTTTCTTTTGAAACTATCAGCCTTTATTCATTCATTTATTAATTGATAAATTGTCTGTAAAACTTAAGGTCATTTAGCATTTCCTTTCTGTAGATGCAACAGGAATCATATTCACTCAATGGATTGGAAAAATTTCATCCCTAAGTATTGTGATTGTGGGAATTCATATAGATCACTACAAGAAATTGAGGTAGGTTTAACAGTTGAACCAGGTCAAAGGCACCCTCCTGGGTTCCTTTGGTCAATTGTTCCACTCAATGAATTTGTTAGTTGTAGCTAACACTCTAATGGGAGGGGGGTCTGAATACACTGCATTCCTTATGAAGGTCTTCTCTGCTCATTATAATTGTAATGGCTTGATCGTTCCCATACTAGTGGTCAACCTTGCAAAGACTACCGGTACATGTTTCAGATTTGTTGTTAAGCCATGATCATAATCTCAGGGGGTACACCTCAATGAATTGATATCAGGAAATTTTTACAGGCTTATTCCATGGCTGCTTTTTTGCAGGGACAAAGTAGATGTGTGAAACTTGAAAATTCAAAATGTCCTTAATTTTTTCAAGTTCTGTTATTTTCAGTCTGTGCAAATTGTCTCTGTGCTAGAGTAGGTGACTTGTGACTTGTTTGAATTCTTCTTCTCACTTTCTTACATACTTACATTTCTTTTCTCATTAGGCATCTAGTTGGGCAGCCTGTTTGTTATTATCTATGTTATGTGTGACTCATATTGTACGATTGTGTGGAGGACTCCAGACGACTTCAAGGCAATGATCATAGATGAGTCCACATAAATCAAATAATATATACAAACAATTTATTTGTATTCCATTCCGGAAGTATTTTATGGAAGAGGAGACGTACTTACTGACTCATCAATGGTTAAATCTGCTTTCTACAGGTTCAAATTAAAGAAAAGTGTCCAGCTAAGTTTTGACCAAAAGGGTACAAAGTGAAGAAGTCCACAGAATGTACACAAAGGCCTGATATTCATGCAAATAAGCAAACATCCTTTGAATTCAGAGAAAGACTTCTTCATTGGGATCATTTTGGCAAGCTCATGCTGACAGATTTTCTCTTGACCCTTTCACTCCCAAGATCTCTTAAGTAATTCTCCATACTGTCTACTATACAATCCCTATGTTATCAGTTTGGAGAAATTGGTATTGGATCAACTAACGATCCCCCATTTGATGTTTTCTTTCTTATCTATTGTCTGATTGATATTGTAAGGAGAAATTCTGGCTTGGTCACTTTTGGGAGTTTAAGTGTTAAGTGTCATTTGGTCTGACATGTATCAGCTCAAGGATCTTATCCTCTAATTAACAATTATTCCACGAGCGCGCGTTGGATATGAGATGACAGATAGCCAACGAGGCCCCTAGCGCCAAGTTGGCTATAATCATCTCATATCCAACAAGCGCGAGTGGAATAATTGTTTTATTAAAAACGTTAAATTAAATTAAATTTTATTCAATTTTTAGCTCCCTTTTAATTTTAATCTGACACGTACGCTTGCCATATTTGTAGATTATGGTATATTGGCTGATATACCATAATGGTTAAGCCAATAAAAAGTCTTGAATTGCATTATCCAATGATCTAGTTTTTAATAAAACAGAATAGACTATATCATTTCTCAGAAGAGAAAAATAGCAATAAAAGTTTATCTATTTCTTAGAATACATAGTGTGCTGCATATGGGCCCTTATGACAGTCTACCAGACAAAGGCTTGTGCTTCATGGAAAGAAAAGAATAAAGTTTATTTTTTGTGTCGTGTGATTATAGTTCAATAAAATTTTATTTATGTTGAATATACGTATCTAACTTAAATAGAATTTATTATTTGCAAAAGCAAGCTGTGCAGGCTACCACCAACTCAGACAATCGAGACCACTCTGCCCCTTTATTCTCCAAACTAGGAATTTTAGATATTTTCCGAGTCAATACGTTTGAAATCGCTAAATTTATGTTTTACTTCAAAAATAACTTATTGCCCCCATTGCTTCTCGATCTTTTTGTAAGGAATAGCCAAATTCACAACTATGGTATCAGAACAGCCAGTAATTATCGAACGGATTTGTGCCGTACTAATGTCAAGCAGTTTACAATTCTCTACCAAGGTCCTAAAATTTGGAACTCTCTCCCTATTTTAGTCACTCGTTCGTCAAACTTTCTCAGCTTTAAAGAGAAATTGCAAGAGTTTTTACTTAAATTATCACTGAATTGGCCAAGCCGCACATTTGCAGCACTTTTTCTTTACTTAATTTGTTATTGTAAGTGAGGTGGCTCTCCCATAAGCCTGGTGGCTTCTTGGGTCTCCTTGCCTTCTAACTGTTATCGCTGTAATTAACTATTTTTTAATTGTTAAAATAAGGCAAATAAAGATGATGATGAATGATTTAACACACATAATTCACTGATGGTTCCTCTTGATTACTTAATAACTTTGTAATCAATCTCTTAGTGACTGGGTCAATTTAGCTGGCCATCTCTGCTTGGCTTGCTGCAAGTTAAGAGTTTTCTCCTTGTGTGAAAAAAGGTTCAATACACCATCCACAAAAGCAGTAAGCAACAAATGAAAATCTGTGAATTATGCTAATGATGAAAGCAAGGATAGCATTCAGTGGGTCACACAGTGTTCTACTTATGTTGGAGTAAATGACACCCTGCGAGGGTTGTATGCTGGTAAGGGGATAGAAAGTGGGGTCTTTTGCTTTTATAAAATAACTATATAGGTTTACCATGCATTAAAAGAAGGTTATTTCATATTGTTAGTAATAATTTAGGATGAGAAACTTCTCATTTGGTTTTCTTACTCAATGAATATCTACATTATCAGTGTTCCAGAAACATTTCTTAATATTTGCCAACTCAGAAGAATCTGTTTAAAGATATCTTGATCCCCTGTCACTTGTAACCTCATAGAAAGGAATTTCTTGGATGGGTGATGAGTATGCCATTCTCTCATCGGTAAGGTAGTTTTCAGAAGCTTTCATCTTGAACAAGTTTTTCTTGAAATTTATACCAGAGAACATTACGATGATAAACCAAATCCCAAGAGCAGAATATGATGCAACCTGATGTAAACAAAAAAATAAGGAATTAACGTTTTTTTTTTAAGATTGTTAGAATAGGACTTTCTGTTATATAGTTGGAATTTTTTCATTGACAGCATACCCTCTCATTGGTTACTTAGAGGTCACATGGTGTGTAACAATAAAACTGTCTTCAGGAAATTCACTCCGACGAAGGGCTAACGCTCGAAACGTCAGCTTTTGTAATCGTTACGGTGGCCAATTTACCATTTCAACTTTGTTGATATATCCAAATTATTTCGTTACCCCCACCAACGCAGCCCCAAACAGTTTCTTTTGAAATTATCAGCCTTTGTCCTCAGGAAAGTCTCTGAGGGAGTAATATTGCCAATTTTTTTAACATTGGAGGGTAAAGGGCACTCACTGATGCTTGTGAATGTTGACTGCTGGGTACTGGTGCAGTTGAACAAAGTATCATGAAGGGTGGTGTGAGATACTGTTAAAATATAAACTATCATTGCGTTTTGTTTACTTTCATGGAATTCTTCTGTCTTTGTTTTGCTATAAAACAAAGCGCTTGATGACTAGTCTCTCAGGTGGTTTGTTTTCTTCAAATTTAAATGTACTTACTAGGAAACCAAATTAACATTTTTTTCAAATGATCAGTCATTATGTGATTTGTCTTACAGCACAAGGAAGACATTGCAAGAATTAGGGACCAATTTTTCAGTGTCCAATGTTAATATTGTCTTGAAATTCATATTCAATGACATCACAAACCTCTGCCATAAAGAGGTGGGTGTAAAAGTTGCTACCATCAATGCTAGCTGGTGTGTAAACAGTCCAATCCCAGTTTTCTGCATTTTTGCACCTGTAGATGAAACAAGCTTTGCATGTGAATAGTCAGAGATCATCATTGTTCAAATAGTTATGATTAGATTAAGAGGGAGGTGATCCAAGGGTGATATTGTGGGGAGAAATTAGATGCTGGTCACCCCTGGGTGCTGAAGGTTTAAATCTTCAAAGCAGGAAGAAGAATCAACAAACTCAGCTTGCATGTGATACATTAATTGCCTGAAGCAGAAATTTAACACACACATCAGTGACAGATGGCAAGTGTTCTCTTCAACATTGCACCATCCTCATCTAAAAAAAAAAAAAAAATGGCTTGGCTGGTTGAGACCGACAAGCAGCTGGTTTTGAAGGACTACAGGACCGTCTGTTCCACCAAAATAATGCAGCTTGTGAGATAAACTTAAGATTTAACACACCTTTCAATGTTTCCATTGTTGGTTACAGAGTTACACCATTTGTTGAAGCCAGTGACAATAAATATAGTACACACCAGACAGTTGATCCATGCAATTGCTGCCAATATAGTGGCCATGAATTTGAAATACACTACACTGGAAAAGATGGAAGGTTGAAAGAAAAGAAGAGCTGGGCTAATGATACAAATACTGATAATTCCTTGTTAAAGTGTCAAAGTTGACAGTTAGTATGTGTAATAGGACTACACGTTGTCCAATTTGTGAAGTGAAAATCATTCTGAGGAAAGCCAGTCGGAGAAATGTTTTGAATCCAATTGTTTCCAAAATTGGACAAGTCCTCTTCCTTATTAATTCTTTAGTTGTAATAGGGCATTGTTCAGTGAAGCTGTTATTCTTCAGTTTTTTAAAACTGTCCAATTAAGGATTAATTTTGATATTTTCGAACTATCTAAATTAATCCTTAATTGGACAGTTTTAAAAAATCAAACAATAATTATAGCTATGCTGACAATTTTGGATTAGCTACCAGCTATACAATTAGGGGCATAAATATACCTAAGTACCTTGAGAAATTGTCAAGTGTGAGTCAAAAATCGTAATTGAAAACTTAACTAGAACAAAATTTTCAAAAGTTTTCGTATCACCCTGTAAACTTGATAGATCGATAAAGAGTGAAAGTGGGTTAATTAATTAGGAAGCGGTATGTTTAACCTAGCTTTGTTTACTCTTCAACAAATCTATTAGTTCTATGTTTCTGTGCTTCTGTTTTGCAATTTTATATATCACATTTTTAAGGTCTTTGATCAGACGAACGGAAACATGGAATCTATGTTAGAGAGGGAATTGTTAATCTGGAGAAGAGAATTGTAAAGCGAAATATAAATTAATGAATATATGTGACGATTAATAAAACAGCATTTCAATCGTTTAAACTTGCCATCGGTTTCATTTAATTCGCACCTTACCTCCAATTGTAGGTGTGTATATTACAGCAACAGTTGCCCAATCCGAGAAAAATCGCCAAAATAGCGTTACTCAAAGAAGAGAAGAATGTAAGATTACAGTACGCTTGACTTCCCATGAATATAGTGTTTGTTAGAATATCCAGCTTTCCAAAAAGTAAACAATCGCCATTGAAATTAATTTCGTTAAGTCTCAGAGGAACTGAAATGCAACAACCAGCGGCCAGGGCTAGGATATAGAGGAAATTCTCAAACTTCTGCATATTTTGTAAAATACATAATTTCTCTCGATGCAAACACTGGTTTACAAGAACTAAGAGACATCGGTACGCAAACTATTCGAAAAATGCGCTCCGTTGTGTCTTCGGCTCTCTTCGGAAAGCTTCGGGAAACGTTTGTTTCATTCTTTAGTGACCAGTTTCTTCCGCTCTGTTGGTTCAACTAAACCTAGTTAACATGGCGGCTGTCGGGGATGGTTTGACAGGTAACGAGGTTGAATCCAGCGAATATCATTTTCATCCTGATGGTGGGTGTCTTAAGTTCTCTTTCATTGTGAGGCATTATTCTTATTCATTCGTTAGGTGACAACTTACGTTTGAGAATGGTGACAGAAAGGTGGTAGAGTAAATGTTACTTACAACATGCTTTTTCAATGAGCCCAGCTCACTTATTTTCTTTAATGGAATTGAAATACAGGGGCTAAGAATAAAGGTGAAAATACGGCAGAGGGTGATAATGATGCAAACATGACTGAAACGAAGGAGAATGGTTCTACTGGTGATGAAAATTCTACAAACGCCCCAGTGGTCGAAGGAGACGTTGTGAATGAACAAGAATTGAAGTATTGGAAGGCCGTGAAGGAAAACCCCGCGGATTTTACTAGCTGGACGTATCTCTTACAGTTTGTCGAACAAGAGGTATGTACTGAAAATATCCATCGTTCGTTGAACACTTTCATTTAGAAGTCTTTGTAAGCTGAACTTCATTTGCTCTGAATGTTATCATTAATTAAAAGTTGGTCGATGATTCTCTTTGTTTAGGATAATTCTAGCCTTTACTTGGAAAAAACCGTGCAAGTCACCGTTTGTAGAACCCACAGTTTGAGGAGGTTTATATTTCTTGTTGCTTTTTCAGCCTGCACTTTGCTTTCACAACCTTTTTGAATTTGATTTGTGCTAATTTAGTTTTTTTTTTTCGTTTGTACTTGGGTGTAGAACAAACTGTCCTCTGCAAGGCAAGCATTTGATGCCTTTTTTAAACGTTACCCTTACTGTTATGGGTACTGGAAGAAATATGCAGATATGGAAAGGAAAAATGGAAACAATGACAGAGCTAGAGAGGTATGTTGTGTGTAAGTGACATGGAAAAAAACCAAGTGAAATTTGCTCTATGGAGTTGGAAATTTAACAGCTGGAAGTTGCAGCTAACAGATGTGTTGAAAGGATTTACTTCTGTTTTTTTTTGAAATCTTGCAAATCAACATCAGTACGAGTCTGCTTTAAAGTGCACCTAAACCCAAAAATTTTTTTTTCGCTTAACGAAATAAGCTTATTTTTTGGAGTATTTCTGTGCAAGAATTTTTTAATTTGATTAAATCTTAAATTTTCTGTGCCCAGTCAAAATACGGAAAATCGGCCGCCATCTTGCCCCACGACCGAGTTTAAAGAGGAATGGCTCTAGCGGATAATATGACGTCAAATCGAGAACACGAAAGTCTGCTTTTCACACATTTTCACTTGTTTGGGAAGGTTGTGGTCGATATTGTCCGAAATATGCCGACCAGGTGTGTTGTATGAGGAATGTATGAAGCGTGATACCCTCTTGCAAATTTCGCACGTTGCTACATCCTCCTACAACACACTTAGTCGGCATATTTTCGGACAAAATTGACTACAACCTTCCCAAACAATCAAAAATGTGTGAAATGCAGACTTTCGTGTTCTCAATTTGACGTCGCATTACCCGCTAGAGCCATTCCTCTTTAAACTCGGCCGTGGGGCAAGATGGCGGCCGATTTTCCGTATTTTGACTAGGCACAGACAATTGAAGACTTGAGCAAATAAAAAAATTTTTGCACAGAAATACTCCAAAAAATACGCTTATTTTGTTAAGCGCAAAAAAATTTTGGGTCTAGGTGCACTTTAAGGGTTTCATTTCCTTTGGCTGCTGCAAGTTTGTTATTCATCAGTGGCCATGTGTCAGGAATCCAGATATGCCAGTTATAACCATAGGCATGCAGGAGTTAATTTTTTGGATATGTGGGTTGAAATGGGGAACTAGGTAACAGATATTTTCTGCATTGGTGCCACGCTTCTTGCAGTCTCCTTCACGACCCAAATTTGGACTTGTCACGCAACATTCTCTCTCCCATGTTGCACAACAAGACTAAACAGTGACCTGCTGTGATAATGCTTACTGACGCTCCTTCGGCAGAGACAGTCTCAATTATTATTCTGGTGGTAAAGGGCCAGAATCAGAAATTCTGTTTGGTTTTTCCTGTGCAGGAAAATAAACAAGAAAAAAATAACTCAGAAAGATGTGTGACAAATTCAACCACAGTGTTGTTCTAATGGACAGAAAATCTATTCAGGCTAAGTTACTGTATGTCCAGTCTCCAAGGTTTTTCTTGACCTCAAATAATTTTGATGGAGTGGACATCTATATTTATACAGGATAGCTCCTTCAGTATAGGGAAACACTGGTATCAACGGGGGTCCTGTTACCCAGCCATCCTATCCCAGGGAAGGACATCCATCACACAGTAATCTTGTGCGTGGGAAATTAAGGTCTCCTGCCCTTAACCCTGCAGGAGATGGGACCTCCATTTATTCGTCCCTATCCGAGAAGACTAGAATATCTAACCATTACTTGATGTTATAGAAAGGTAGCATATTCTTCTCAATTATTCTAAGACCTTGAGTGTAGGTCCGGCCGGGGCTCAAATCCCCGACCTCCCGCACTTTATCCATTGAGCCAACCAGGAGGCTCAATGTTTCAGGGAATTCCCTGAAATAGCCAATTGATTTGTGTTGATTCTCACTAAGGGCCCACTTCTCCAAAGTCACTGTAACTTAATGGGCCTGTACAGTTGTTCTGTTTTCATTCAAGATGGGGATTTCAAAATTTTGAAAATGATAGAGTAAAACTATCAACTAAAGAAACAAAAAGGACTGGTTTGGGTACCAGAACCTGCTTTCTTTTCTCTTAATTTTGATTTTAAAACATGCCTTGATGGGTCCATTACGTTACTGGGACTTTTGAGAAACAGACCCCAGGACATGACAAAGCTAGTTATCAGTAAATTAGGCTGTGAAATCCTCAAAAACAAGAATCTTGAGCACACTTTTACATTCTGTTTTTATTTACTTTAGGTATTTGAGGGTGCCATTTCATCCATTCCTCTCAGTGTGGATTTGTGGGTACATTACCTCAACTTTGCTTCTCAAACTACCAAAGGTCAGATTGATGGCCCAGAGGTCATGCGAAGGTAACTTCAGTGTTCATAATGAACCTGAGTACTGACATTGCTGTCTGTTCTCCAGGAAAACTGATCAGCCAAGGCTTGAGGAGGGCATTAACCTTTCCATTGGGGATAATCTGACCACTGTTGATGAGTGTGTGTTTCAAACTTTGAGAGTTCTGTTTTTGAATTTCTGATTTGTTTCAATTTTTGGCAGTTCATCTAACCCCGATGATTTGTTGTGCCATGTATTTCTTATTAGTAACAGTTAGGTTGGTGTTGATAAACAGTTTTGAGTGGGCATCGCAACCCACGCCGGCTTCTTGCGGGTCAATTGGTATTGGGTACTATACTGATGGACAAGGTATTTTAATGCTTCAATCCATTCAGTCCTGTTTTAAGTCCATTTTGCATAGAGAAGTCAGCCAATGCCTTTTTGTTAGACTAATCTTTTACTAAGTTATTTTCCCCTTCTTCCTTTGGTTGATTTTTGTAGTTTATTTGAGAGAGCCGTGTCATCAGCTGGAGAAGAGTTTCGTGCAGACAAACTTTGGGAGGCTTATATTGAGTGGGAGAAAAATCAAGGGCAACTGCAAAGAGTAACAGCTTTGTATGACAGAGTCTTCAATGTTCCTACACAGAATTATAGCCAGAACTTTGAAAAGTTAGTAGTTTGGTATTTTGAAAAACTAATTAATACATGTGCTGCCATGATGTCAAAAAGCATACCAAGTTGAACTTCATGGTTCTTTTAAATCCACTCCACTTAAGACTTGTTCACTTCCACCAAGTTTGGCTGTGGTCATTAGTTGTTGTATCAATTTCATCTTAAATTCTCCCAGCTTATAACTAAGGAGATGTGAAGCAACTTGGAGAAAATTGCAAAGCAGTTCTAGAAAGTGAAAGGGTTGAGAAAAACAATAATGAAAAGTAAAAATACTTCAAAATTCGTTCTTATTTTTATCCTTTTCTTCAGGTTTAAACAGCATATAAACTCTAACCCTATTGCTGCTGTATTGTGTACTGAGGAACTTCTTAAGCTGAGGGCAGAAGTTGCAGCTGCTCCTCCTGGTCTATCGTCAGCAGAGGTGGAACCTCTTATAAGTGTAACTTCTTCCTCGGCTAATCCACCAGGTATGGGCAGTGCATGTTGAGTCTGCAGAATTTTATATGTCTATTTTTATTGTGTTATGCCCCTCGATACTTGCTTTCAAATTTATTATAGTGGTGAAGCATTTGCTGGCATTGAAATTGATAAGGAAAGAGACATCAGAATGTGTTCAGTTTTAGTTTTCTTTTGGTTTGCTTTTGACTTTGTTTTGTTATGTTTAGGATAGGTTGATTCCTAAAGCAGTGATGTCTGAGAGAAGATAATTATTATTTTTAAGGATTTGTCTATAGTTATACTTGTTTCCCCTACTTCTTTGATACTTTCATTATGAGTTATTGTCAATTGCATATCATAGTTTATTTTTAATTTATTTCTGAAGGTGTTGATGGAGATGCTGATGCTGATGAAGTAGCTCCTGGAACTGAGGACCTTACTGTTCCTGGGGCAGAAAGTTCTGTCACTTCCCAGGTATGGTTTCCTACAACTTCCAAGTTGTGTGCTTTAGATAGCCACTTCTGGTGATGGTAGAATAAGTATAGAATCAATGGTAACACCTGTTACAAAAAGCTGTCAAGAGCAAAGAAGGTATATGTTTAGTTGGCCTTGTGTTGTATTGATGCTTATTTCGCACATTCTCTTCACTCAGGATGATGCTGAAACTATTGCAATCAGAGAAAAGGTTATTGCAGCACGGCAACAAGTTTTTGCCGCATTAGGAGAAGAAGTGAGAAAGCGGTGGACATTTGAGGAGGCCATAAAGAGACCGTACTTCCATGTGAAACCACTCGAACGTGTCCAGTTAAAGAATTGGAGAGAATATCTGGATTTTGAAATCGGCAGTGGTGATCATAGAAGGGTTGTGATTCTCTTTGAACGCTGTGTTATTGCATGTGCATTGTACGAGGACTTTTGGCAAAGATTTGCAAGTTACATGGAAGGGCATGATATGGAAGCATGCCGCCATGTATATGAGAGAGCATGTACAATACACCTTCCAAGGAAACCTTCCATTCACCTAGCATGGGCTGCTTTTGAAGAACAGCAAGGTGACTCAATGTTTTTGCACTTGGAGCTAATACAATAATGGTTTACATGTATAATATCATGTTAAGGTGTCAAGTAGGAATTCTTCTCTCTCTACATGGAGAGGATGAGTACCTTGAACCTTGAAGAAATAATGTGGTAAAAATAACTGAAGACTTCACATGTTATGATCAAATTTGCTCAACTTCTAGTTCCAAAATTTTAAACTTCATGTTCTTTTCGTATGCATGTGCTTTACACAGCACACAAATCAGATATCTTTAACAATTCAGTTTCTTATTTATCTTTAAATCCATATATTGTGGATTAAAATTATACAAGGTAGATTAGAAGGTTTGTAAGTAATTTTTTGGCAATTGTGATATTCTGATCTCATTGTTTGTAAGATTATGTCCCAGGTATAACTGCTGTCAGATTTGAAACTCTTATAGACAAAGGGGTTATTGGTATTTATTTATCACTTGTTTTTATCAGGAAATGCTGCAAAGGCATCAGAGATTTTGGCTGAGTTAGACAAGGGTGTTCCTGGTATAATAATGGTCAAACTAAAGAGGGTAAATCTGGAAAGACGAAGGGGTAACTTTGAAGCTACTTGTGCTCTGTATGAAGAGACTATGAATGAGACTAGTGAGCAGGAGTTAGCCACATTCTTTGCCATTAGATACTCGAGATTTTTAGCAAAGGTAAGGAAAATTTTTTTGAATAGCCAAACTTGCATTTATGAGGCATCTCTTTAATGCTCTTACTCCCAAAGGGTACTAACATGTAACTCTTTCTTGCAATATGAAATGTTACAAGAATAGACAAACTTGTCAGTTGAAGGGTGTTGTTTCTTAAGGAAATTTTTTGGATGCTATATATTGATTTGTATAGCATCTAGAACGGAAATTCTAGGCAGATCATGGGTTGGGAAATTCTAGGCAGATCATGGGTTGAAAAATTTGAGACACTTTTCTAAGTTGTCCGTCGTAATGGTTTTCGGGTGATAAGTTGGCTTGAGTGGCTCAGAATCTAATGACAAATATGAATTTAAAAAAGTTAACATCTCCTATAAAATTTAAGTTAATCTTATATCGTGCAAAGTAGATTTGATTTTAGGACTGACTCTTGATGTTGCCAGAATTGAACTTCATTCTTTCTTCAGTTAATGTTGCCTGTCTTTGTTCTTGTGTTTGCTCTCCCTGAGTATAATCTTTTTTTCTCTCACTAGGTCATGGGTAATGTGGAAAAAGCAAGGGAGGTGTTGAAAATTGCTCTGGAAAAAGATAAGGTATTTATAAATATTTAATGTATCATTTCAAGAAGGATGAAAAAAGTAGAGAAAAATTAAGTTGTACCAGTTATTTCTTCTCTTGATCCTTAAGCTAGGTTTTTCATTTCAATTTTTAAGTTTTGTTTGGCATTAAGGACACTGAAATTTTCAGAATGGTATTAGAAAAGTGTATTTCTTTGAGTCAAATCATTGATCTGTTGCATTTTTATTGTTGAACGATGTATTTTTTTTCCTTCTCTAGGACAATAAGAGGTTATACCTTCAGCTTTTGGACATGGAGCTTAGTTCATTTCCAATAAAAGAAGAAAAGGTTTTAGAAGTCTTTGATATGGTAAAAGACAGTGAGCTGGACACAGAAGTTAAACAAGGTTTTTCTCAGAGACTAGTTGAATATCTTGAAGATTTCAGTGCTGACATAACCAAAATAATGGCTGCGCAGGAAAATCATACAAGACTATATAAAGGAAAATCAGCTTTGATCCCATTGACTGGAAGTAAAAGGTCACAAGAGGGAGATAGGTAAGTAGAAAAGAAGAAATCAAATTATCAGATGCATTTTTACAATTGCCAAGTTAGATGTCACAATAGGGAGTTGGTGAAAATCTCTTCAAAACAAGAACTGTCACTGAAATATAATGGTGCATGCTGCAAGATGATGAAAACTAACTTGGTAGCGGAGGAGTGGGGCAACCTTTAGCTAGTGGATGTGTCAACTCCATGACCCTTCACTCGTTCCCTGTTGCCAACAAAAAATGCACTTTGCAGAATTTTATTTCTTTGCCATTACTTGCAAGGGAATTGTATGCTACCTGCTATAAGTATCTTCCCTATGATAAAAAGTTGTTGCATAAAAATTCATTGAATTCATCAATATTTTATCTAGCTCAAAAGTGATTAACTGTATTGCACTTCAAAATTATGTTAAAAGGTATTTTTCCCTTTCCAATAGTTCAGACATCAAATCCAAAGTATCTAAAACAGAAGATGGAATAGTGGACAGTAATCAACATGCCACAAGCACTGCACTGACAGGAGCAGAAACATATGATACATCATATCCATCAGCATCTGCTTACTCTGCTGCTGCAGCGTCTGCCTATAACTATTCCACACCTTTACAGAACCAGTGGGCAGCCTATTCAGCAGCACAGCCGGTAAGGTGTCATTCCCTTGAAGGTGAACTCCTGGCAACTTTGCTAGTAGACATGTCTGATCAATGATTGTTTGCTCGTTCCCTGTTGCCAATAGTACATTTAATTGTATCATTCTGTTATAAGGAAATCTGTTCTTGTTATGAGCAGATATGAAGCAGATGTACTGACAGTCTATTTTGGATCATAGATTTTGATTTCTTATACTGTTTGATATACATTTTGCAAAGATTATTTAATTTCATTTTAAAACAAGTAGCATTGCTTTTAGCTCTAGGTGATGACAAGTGCTCTATACTTGACTACCTCATGTCCTACCCTTTGTGGTTTTAACTTCAATGCAAAAGCCCTTACTTCCAAAACCTTAGCTGCCCTCAGAAACATATCAGTGTACACTGTGTCCCCTTGAACAGATAACTAAAAAGAAAAACCCTCTATGATCCAGGGGTCAACATTAAACACTTGTTTCTTCATTTGTTCAGAATGCATACAGCTATAGTCAGTGGTATCAGCAGTACGGGGCTGCATATGGACATCCTCACCAAACTGCCACACAATAGAGGACCCAAGTCTACAATGATACATGTACATAGCTTTGTCTTCCAATGAAGACTTGTACTACTTCATAAATAATGTTTAGTGAGCAATTTAAGGTCCTTTCTGTTGTAAAGCAGCTTACTGTGTTCAGTATGTATTTGAGAAATGTTGAAAATATGCTTTTAGTTTTGCCTCAGTTGGGTGTTCCAGTGCCTTTTTCGTTTATTAACATAACTAGAGCAAAATTTAATGTACATCAAGGAGAGTTCCACCAACACATTCCAGCATTTTTATTACAGCAAGTTTGAGGATAATTAAATCAAAAAATATAAACATAAGATTTCCTTGTAATATACTTTGTTTAATGTTTGTGTGCCAACCAAGTTATGGCTGATGTAGATGTAAGGCCAGTATGACCACTTGTTAAAACTTTTTACTTTGAGAAAATCAATTATGTCACTTTGTGTCCCACTATGTACAAATATCACAGAGGTGTTTTAACTGGCTACACAAATCCAAGTGAGGCGTGTACACCTGCCAAAAGAACTAGCAACTTGAACCATAATTATCTAAGTAATAATACTAAGCCACTTCACACAAGGATTAGGAAAAAAACTAAAATTACACACACTATTGTTTGCCATGCCATATCCATATGCTGCTTATCAATTTCACAACTGAAGCAATGACTATACATTTAACTGCAGTGTACACTTTACAAGAAAAAATTTTAAAACATTCCATGTGCCTGTACACTTCCTCTGGATAGAGAGTGACAGAGGACATGGACAGTATTACTAAATACAGTGTACAATTAATTCAGATCTACTATTAAATTTGGTTATCTTTGATGTGACAAAAATGCCTAGTGCTCAGTGTTCTTCCACACCATTCACATCTTCACTGGTCTGTTTCCAAATCATGTGGACATAATATGCTGGGCATTCAACTTGTCCCAGAGGTTCAAAGTCACCAAAAACTTCATGCCTTGCAGCTTCACCAAATATGCCTTTCAGGAGATTAGTAAAGGTTCTCAGGCGTAGAGGGCAGTAAGAAAGACGGAACTTGCTGTAGTTAACAAAAATAATGAAAAATTGAGTTAGATGCTTACTGAATGACAAGAATGCAAATTCCAAAATTCTTTTGTGTGAAGAGAAAAAGACTATTTAAACCCACTTCATTTAACCAGTCTTCAACTAAATTTTGTAGGTCAGAAATATCCCAGTTGAATTTCAAGTAAAGCTTGAATGACATCTTAATGGAATGATAATTCAGTGTGACAGATACCTGGACGGGATTGTGCAATTAAACACCCAGACTCCTGAGTTTTTGCTCTAGTTATTTAGCAAAGTCTAGGACATTTAATGGAAAAGGGTTAAAGCCTGGCCATCTAATAATAATAATAACACCTTTATTTGGACACGATAATGGTTAAAGCTGAACAGCTTGTGGGGTCGTGTATAAATTCAAATGATGGTTTTTGAGGAGAGGGGAAACCACGAGAAAAACCTCTCGGAGCAGAGTAGAGAACCAACAAACTCAATCCACTTATGATGCAGGGTCTGGGAATCGAACCCAGGACATTGATGGAAGGTGAGTGCTCTCACCACTAGGCCAACCCTGCTCCCTGATGATCTATTGGCCCAAGTCATCGTGAGACCATACTTGAAATAAAATATGATTTGTTGAGCCTTTAAAACCTCAATAGCCTCCCCCAAAAAGCCAGTGGGGTGATACATTAAATCATAGACCCCTTCCAATTTTATCACCACTGTATTTCCACTTGATGAAACAAATGACTCAAAATCAAATGTGTGTTGAGATACCTGATGTCTCCCTCAGTTGATTTCCTCTTTTTTGCTGCTGGTTCTTCTCCCTCCTCAGTGAAATCATCTGAAGCCTTTGAAGGGTCAACAGTGTAATCCAATGTTATCATGCTCTCTCTGCCATCCACATAGAGGACTGATGTCTTGATGCTCTCGATACAGTCACTCTGAAGAGAAGTGATTGGCTTTGAGCTGAATTGCTTAATTAAAGGTTGACTCAAATGGCACCATTATTCACTTTACTCCCTGGAATGATCTGTATTGACATTCCCCTCAATTTTAACACATTCTCAAAGTAAATCATGAATTTAGGGAAATACTGTGTGGATAAATCAAAAATGTTTTTGTTAAAATGGGAGAGTTACATGTAGTTTTCTCTTCAGATCTAGGAGTCTGAAAAGGCTTTATTGGATGCTCAATATGGCATGGTATTATGTAAGCCTTCAATGGCTCAAGTTATCTGGGTCAACCCTCTGACTCTGATTGTCAATTCTCCCCTCTGGCTGTCACATAATTCCATGTATATTGGTTACAAGAAGTTGTTGTTAGATCAGGATAACTTCAACCTAATAACTTTCAGTATTCTAATTACCTGTTTGCTAAAGAATATTTGGACTTTATATGGAGAAGTTACATGTTAATCACTTCCAGGAGTTAATGGGTTAAAGATGTGGCCTCATTGGCTAAGGATACACCAAAACAAAACCTACTTTACATTTCGCATGAATTAGCTTACATTGTAGTACAAATTTCGCTGAGGGGCTTTGCCAGTATCAAGAATAGCATCATAATTGCGGTGATCGATAAACAAGACTCCACCAGGCTTTAACATGTCTTTGAAGTTCTGAATTGCCAACTTCTGATTGGTTAAGTCACCTTGGAAATCTGGCAAGTGAGCAAACGAATTTCCAAGACAAATGACTGCATCAAACCCTTGTGGAGGGACATCAATGTTAGCATCTTTTAAAGAAAGCCAGTTGCCTTCCTCAATTTCTGAAATTAAATGACAAAAAATTTTGAATAGTAAAAGTTACAATGATTTGCCACACAAATGCTTGTTTATCTTTTTGGTCATTGGTTACTCCCTACCCCACTTGTCAAAGGCTTGTTCCTTTCGACGTTGCCACCGTATCTTCCACGCCTGTTTTAACATTTTGTCACTGGCATCTGTGCTTGTTACTCTAAAATTGTTTTCCAGCAGCATAATGGAGTCCACTCTGCGAGAAATAAAGATACTCTGGTCCATTACTTCATGCAAGAAAAATAATGATTTCCCAGTGGACCTCTCAATGTAACATGCACACAGATGTATTACTCTGATATAGTAATTTCATTGTGATAATGTTATTAGCAGTTATTGATCCTTGGAAATGAAAGATGGTCATTGAATATACTTGTTTGGTTCAGCAAATTTTTGCTAAAAGTTCAAAGCAGACGAAATTTTCAGTCTTTGAGTTCTAAAGAATTTTGTACTTCCAAGAGTGTGTTCACAGAGATCAGAAAGATTATGTTAAGTAAGAATTCCAATTGCTTTATCTTCAGATACCATTTGAACAATCTAAGGGGAATGATTAACTGACTAACAGCTTGTTTAGAATTAGGGTGTCACTCCTCTTCAAACAATCTGATTGCCACCAACATTACTTGCTCTTGACTTTTACAATCCTAGCCAGTAGGGATTTTGCAGTGCACGGTCTCCTTAAATGTAAAGTGATCCTACCCTCCCCCCCCCCATCTTCCCTCCAACACTCACACAAACAGGAAGTAAATTTTGATTTCAGTGCACAAGCACAGAATTGGTCAGAATCACTCAAGTAACATTACCTCAACTTTGTGGAATCCTTCCTTTTTTATCAAGTTCTACAGCTTGAAAGGTGAAGGAAGGGCAACCTTTAACTGACAAATGACAATTGAGCGCATGCATGCATCTTGAAGTTCCCCAGGTTTGTAGAAGCATGACCTCAAGTATGTGTGTGTGTGAGGTGTCTTATCTGTAAATAAATATTAACACCAATGGAAGATTTAAAAGAAGCTGACTAATAGAGGAAAAATTTATTCAGAAAATGTGAAAGCTTTGTAACTCCCTCTCCCCCAATTCATACCACCAACAGGCAAAACTTGCTAAGAATAACAGCCTTACTGAGGTTCAGAGCACAACATTTTACTTGATCAAATTCCCAAAGCTCATGAAAGAAAAGCAGGCTCATCGTTGACAGCACTTAGGCGACAGAATTGATCTATTATTAAATTGTAACATCAGGGAATTTGCATTTTCTTTTGTTTTATCCGGGCTTATGCTCGATGCTCTCATCAACATGCTAGCATATTTATCTGACCCTGAGTATATGAGTACAATAAACTTCAGTTGTGGAAAGAGGAATACGATCTTTAAAATTAGCGTAGCATGTGATTGCCTTGTGAATGTGTACTTCAAAACAAAGAGTTAGTCACGTCCGAACTATTCCAAGACAAGAAAAAAACCTGACAAAATCTTGGCGAACCGGCTTCTCAATGAGAGAGTGACAGGTCATATGATAATGAGTGACATAATCTACAATAATCCACGAGGTAAATTTCGAAGACAGCATCAAAACAAATTTGCAAACGTTTTATCCCAACAGATCCCTGTTGGGTACTATTTGGTGATTTATAAACGCTAACTTAAAATGTAAAAACGTTGCATTTTCAAGAGCACAAAATTATCGAAGCTAACATTTCTTTTAATGGATTTTCGATTTCGTGACGTGTCCATTGTCTATTTTGAGTAGTAACTAAAAGCCGTTTTTCTTACCCTGTTCCACAAGCGACATCTAGGATGTGTTTGACACCGTTGTCATTCAAGAGATTACAGAAGAATTCTCGGTAGGATTCTGTTCGTTTCTTGTGTCCGCCGATGTAGTGCTGCCAAACTTTCGCGGCTTTACCATCGGCGTACTGATCTGGAATGCCAGAGACACCGATTCCCAAGGAACGTGTACGGTACACACTATCAACCATGGCGATTTCAGTGTTCTTCAAGTTCTGTATCGCTGTAACCTTTTCTCTACGTCGCAGTGTTAATGAGAGAGATTCGCAAGGTGTGAGTTTGTTACTCCTACCTAACATGAACTCGTACTTGTAGATACGTTGTAAAGCAGCATGACTGGAAAGACTTGTTTTGATTTCCTAATATGGTGTACTTTTGTTTCAAATAAGCTTTTTATGGAGATGATTACCAAATATGGTTAAAGACAGGTGGGGGTGTGTGCCTTGTCGAAAAAAAGCGCGAGATTCCAGTTTGGCGGGAATAGATTTCCTTCAAGATCCTTCAACACAGCCAAATCAGTCAAATCAAAGAACAGAACATTTGCTTTTTATATATTTTTGTTCGATAAATGGAAATGGGAAAAACTGCTTTTAAAGAAACGTGGAATTTGTATTAGTCAAGAGCTTAATTCAGATGATATCCTCTTGTTGAGACGGCGATCCTTTACTGCCTTGATGGCATCCTTAACCCAATGTCACGTGCGTTTCCAGCTATTTTTAGCTTAAACAGTGCGATCTTCACGCGACAAAAATGTGCGTTACAAGCACTGCAAATATCGTCAATATTCTTGCGATTATTCACATCTCGGTTAAGTGTGAGGTCAACATATTCAATAAACCAAGCAATTAAGAATAATTGCGATTTATATTTGTGCTGAGGAAAAAGTCTACGAGACAAACTAAATCACTGAAAAAGGTCACCGAAAATCAGGTTTTAAAAACGAAACTTCCTCGCTCGCTCGCTAACAAAGTCTGAAAACATTTCCGTCCTCGTGACGTTTTCAAATGAGGTAAATTTACATAGCGCGAGGCTGCTAAGTTAGCTGGTCATGAATATCAGGCCAGCAATACAATGAGACAATAGCCTCTATTGTCTTATTGTATTGAAAATATGCGAAAATATGCACTGATATTTGACCGCGCACAGTATCCATTCTGAGATGCAAACAGTTTTCCGAGGGCTTCGCTCTCTGAAAACTGTGAGCTTCGCGAAACAGATAAGGCCCAAGGACAAATATAAGAGCATATTTTCGTGCTAAATAGACACTACTGTGTTTAGTATCGACTTCTATTATTACATAATTTGGATATATCAACAAAGTTGAAATGGTAAATTGGCCACCGTAACAATTACAAAAGCTGACGTTTCGAGCGTTGGCCCTTCGTTGGAGCGAATAGAGGAATTGTGGGTTGTGTGTGCTTTTAAAGGCAGAAAATGGTGGGAACATGGCAACGAGAAAAACAAGAATAAATTAGTGGAATGAAAAGCGTTCGTTGATCCCTGTGGGATTTAGACTGCCGGTTTGAAAGATGAGCTTTTGTTCAAGATTTTTACGGTTTTCCGTGCTACCTAAGTGTAAGGAAAGACCGCAGATTGCCATATGTTCCTTAGAATGATTAGGTAAATTAGAATGAGTAGCGACTGGTTTCGATGTGTCCTTGTCATTCCTRTCCACGTCTCGAAGGTGTTCTCGGAATCGATCACCTAGTCTTCTGCCTGTTTTTATGGACCGAGACGAAGTCGAAGTCCATTAAAACGCAAAAAAAAAAGAAAAGGAACTCGGCTAATACGCAGCCATCTTGACCCCACGCTTGGTCAATAACGCAGACAAAGCGCGCGAAAAAATCTTTACGAACAGCTTACTATTTTCTTTTGAGTGTTCTCTGAAACGGCTTTATGAACAAACACATAATTCCCTTCTTCTGACAACTACAAAACGATCTCTCATCTTGAATTAAATTTCAAACGAAGATTTATCGTGGTGGACGTAACTTTTGAAAATTGGTAACTTTAGCTGAGAAATATTTGGTCACATGATGTAATTTTGATCCTTGCTTCCGAAAAACAACAACAATCCCGTCTGAAATGAATTGAACTCTTCCCTTACGTAGTGATCCCTGTTTGCTTGCCGTGTCGGAGAGGCTCAAACATTGTGTTGGACATGGCCATTCACCGGCATGCAAATTTTTGTCCAAAACACTTCGCTTGTCTTTACGTCTATCTTAGTCTCCACGGGGCTCTGACGACTATGAACGTGATCTTCGACTAAAACTACTACCCTACTGGTGAAATAATTAAATGGAGACACAAGAATGAGACTGCTTCAATGGAAATTCAAAATATGGACTTTTTGATTACACGAATCAAATTAACATAAAATAATAAAAGGAGCGAACCCCTTACACTTTAAGCTACCATGACGCAACCCCGGCAAGCCACTTTTTATGAAGAATGCGTGGTGTGCCTTTATTTGTCCTTCTGTCAAATTTACTTCTTTGTAAATGAAAATATTATGACAATCTGAGTTAAAAACTTCATGATAATCATCTCCATCTTGTTAATTAAATTTAGTAAAAATTTTATTTAGTAAATTTTCCCATACAAAACCACCAGAGGGCAAACCACTCGCAGTGAAGTTGACAAGTTTTTCTTTTTTTGTTACTCCAGAAAGAGGTATTTATTGAAACTTCCAATATTCCACTCTTCTCCTTCTGTCGGGTTTGCTCTTGTCTTGAATCCTGAAGGTTCTACATCGATTGATTTACTTTCCTATCTTGTTACAAAATACAGTGGTTCTGAGTTTTCTCAGACAATAATGAACGGAACACCCCAACTGTTTTTGGTCTTACTCCTCAGTCCAATGAATGCACTGAGCATCTTTTTCAAGAAAAATGGAATGGTCTCTATCTCCAATCAACAAATATCTTGGTGAATATGTTTTTCCGCGGACGGTATCTGTCCCGAGACGCAAACAGTTTTCCAAAAGAAGTTCGAGGGAAGCTGTGAGCTTCGAGGAACAGATTAATTCCAAGGACAAATATACGAGCATATTTTCGCGTCATATCGAAGCTATTGTGTTCATTATCCTTCAAATATTTTGCAACGCATAGAAAAAATGTTTACGAACAGCTTACTGTTTGCTGCATGGGATATTTTCTTTTGGATGTTCTCTGGAACGGCTTTATAAACAAACAAATATTCTCCTTCTTCTGTAACAACAACAAAACGCTCTCTCACCTTGAATTAAATTTCAAACGAAGACGTATCACGGTAGTGGACGTAACGTTTGAAAATTGGTAACCCCCAGTTTTTGCAGGGAAATAGTCAGTCAAGTGATACGTTTAGATAAACCACACGCGGTAAAAAAATATTATCATAAACGAAAAATATTTAGTGCCGGTGTTCTGTGTCCACGCAATATGTTGATTTGAATTAATTGGAAGATGCATCAAACTTTCAAATTGAGTACAAATAGATGCATTATTTCTTGCGGACTTGTGGACTTACGATTCCATTTGGAGTCACACGATATTCTTAAAGAACATCTGATACTCTCAAAAATTCTGAGAGAATTTTTCAGTGGAAATTCTGTGAACTGAAATTGTTTGACCGCCGGGCACTGCCAATGTGTATTTTTGTATATGCTAATATTCTCTAATTTTTTGATTTTTGCTTCCGTTCTTTGACAGCGATATTACTTTTAATGTGAACAAAGCTCGTCATGTGGTAATAATAAGAAAGATTCGGTGCGCGTAAGCTTAGAGTAGCTCCTTTACAACCTTTCGGTTGCGATCAAAAATGAAGAAATGCCACATTGGTACGATCTACCTCCCTCACCGTAATTTTTTGGGCGGGTAAGTGGTAGGTACTGCTTCATGTAAGCTTGTTTAAATGTTCGACATATGAATTGGTTCCACGCCTTTCAAATTCATCACGATGGTTCGTCGCAGTGGTAAAAACTGTGGTAGAGCTTTTTCGAAGGTTGGTTTCTTCCTTCTTAAGCTTCTAAGACTTTTTCTTACCATCATGGTCTGTGTAGTCTTTATAGCAGGTAAGCTCTCATACACTTTAAATAGAATATCTTCACGTCCATTCAAATTGCCGTAGTGCCGGACTTGAACAGATCGTAAAGGTACAAACTCAATTGACGAACTTCAGAGTACTCAAAGCAGAGTATATATTATAGAGTACGATAGATAATCCAAGCCAAGCGAGTTCACACCAGCGTTACGTTTTCATAAAGAATTTTTGATGTGTTCTGTCGGAGGCTATCGTTTTTGTTGTCGTTAACATAAAAGTTTTCGTTCTTGAGAGGAAAAATACGGCCCACGAAGGCACTTTCTTCGCTCTTTGCAACTTGTTTCTTTCTGCCTCTGTCGTAGATTTTTTGTTGTAAAATGTTTCCTTAAGGGCAACAGTAAGAGCACAAATATGTAAATGCTTTACCAAATCTTAGGAAATCCTACAGAGGGAAACGAGCTGAATCTTATTAGAAAGATTTCTCCTTTGACTCAAATTATAGTACCTTAGCCAAGATCGATGTCTGATCATGCGTAAACTTTCGAATCCATCGCCTTTTCGGAATCTTTTCCCCGTCTGTTCTTTTCTGTTGGTCGCTTTTTCGGGCGTAGAAGGCGTATGGATATTTTGGGTGTCGTTGCTTCAAACCCTAGACGACTGGGGCGATTAGTGTATAAAACCGCCGATACTTGGCATGTCCGATATCGGTCATGATCAAATTCGCAGCGAACGGCGGAAACAATTGCGGAGTGTGTCAATGGTTTTGTACACCGTCTTAGATCACAAGTGCGCGATCGCATCAAGCCCCAAAACTCGCCTGGATCCCAAGACTGTAACGGATAATAGTAGTTGGTGTTATTATAACACATTTCTAAACGATAACTTCATCTTACCTGTGTATGTTCAGCTAGTTATTGTATTTTCTGCTAAGAATGTAATCAGTTTTGTATTGCCAGCGCAAGTAACTCGTCTTATAAGTGAAGTAAGAATCGTTCTATAGGTAGAGTACTGTAATGAGGCCTGCTTTGTAAGTAGTGTATGTAGTAATTGTGTTTTTTAACTTAAAATTATTTAGAAAAAAAATTGTACTATTTTTCTCGTCTCTAATTGGCTCTGACTTTCTGCAGTTACCACATTAATTCGTGTCCGCGGCCAGCAATAGTTCAAAACAAAGGTTCAAAGTTATATTTTCCAACTAAAATTTAAGGAAAAATGGAGCTGAACGATGGGAGGCTTTGGCGACGAAAATAGTTTTAACCCACTTATAATAATATTTGAGATAATACATCTAACATGTTAAAGATAAACGTACTTTTCGTTTGAAGATGGATGCGGTATTCGCACGCGCTCTCGTATAATGGGAGGCTACCAAGCTGCACCTCATTCGTGGCCTTGGCAGGTCACGCTTATGACTCCTGACCGTGAGCCTTTCTGCGGAGGAACATTATTAGATGAATTTTGGATTGCCACCGCGAGCCACTGTTTGAACTATTTGAGAGAAGGAGATGTTATAGTTAGGTAAGACAAATTCTATGTCGAATGCTGTGACAAGTAATAAACAACATTCGTTCGATCCAATGCTTTTTTTCGCTCATAAAAAATTATTATTCTTGAAGTGCAAACGAAAAGACGTTTATCGCTTTGCCAAGTTGGTGAAACTTTGAACTTCACTGCTTTAAGAGGATTCATGGTTGACGCATCAAAAATGACGGGCTGAAATACACGCGTTATCGTTTACAATCGTTGTGGTTTCGCAATCTAAATCATTAATATTTGCAACTTTTCACTTTCATACATGAGAATGGTGAAAGAAAGCTATCAATTTTTCTTGGTAGAGGATGATATGAAAAAAATTAGCTACCGTAATTATTTGTCATTTAGAGCTGGTACACACCACCGAACCAAGATAAATAAATGGGTGCAGGACTTACGGGTGCGACCGATTTATCGACACCCGAAGTACAACGATCCCGTTATGTTCGCAAATGATGTGGCCTTGCTCCTGCTGGACCGACCAGTCCAGTTGAACAGCGCAGTCCGCCCAATTTGCTTGCCTGACAAGGATGACAAACCTGGAACAGATTGCACGGTGACCGGTTGGGGTCGCTTGGGTCATTCTGGTACGCATCCAGACTTTCTCATGCAGGTAAACGCACCATTCAAGGTTGAAGATGTATTACTTTTAAAATGTATTAAAAATTTTAGAGATAAAGACGGATTTTCGAATGCAATATAACTTTCCTTTTCAGACGAACCAGTAAAGTGTCGAAAAACAGCCTTGCAAGACTCAGTCACACATTTTTAACTGCGGTTTGTCGTTGACCTAAAGATGCGAGTTTTCTTTTCTTTCCTTCTTTTTAAAATCTTTTTGTCAGGTGACCATTCCCATCGTGCCCTATTCTACCTGCCAAAAGATCTACCCAGGAGACGTCCACGAAAGTATGCTGTGTGGAGGACATCTGGAGGGCGGAAAAGATGCTTGTGTTGGTGATAGTGGTAGACCATATGTTTGCGAACACAAAAATCACATTTGGAAACTGGAGGGAATCGTTAGCTGGGGTTACGGTTGTGGATGGGAGAACAACCTGGGTGTTTATACCAATGTCACTCATGTACGTGGGTGGATAAAGAGTGTATCACATATATAATAACATCAGTGAATAGCTAAAAATTAATGATTTTACCGCTTTTGATCGATTGACTCTTATTGACGAAAAACGCCTCCTGTTTGCTCAATATTAGAATAAAATTAAAGATGTTTGTGCTAGTATTTGAAATGCAGCCTATATAAGTGAAAACGTAATTGTTAATAAATATTGATGTGATATCATAATTTCTCTTGGTATGTGGTATTAGGTATGTAGCATTAGGTATTGGACAATTTGTGAGGAAAATTTAAAAGTACGTCATGAAGTTGGTAGACATTTTAAACTCTTAATCAGGTTGTACTTCACTAGAATTGATTAATTATAATTACAGTAAAGTTAAAATTTTTGGGCAGTCATTCCTATTTCAAGATTCATTACTAAATAATTTACTTTGCCCAGCTGTTTCTCACTTTCCTTCCTACTATCAGTATATTATTGAATCCAATATCTTGTTGCATCCGAGAGCCTCTCCTGTCCACACATAAAGATTACTGAGGCTGAAAGGCTTACTAAAGTAAAGAACGAAGCAAGTTATTGGATGCAAATGTTTGTTTGTAAAGCCTCGGAAACCTGACGTATCGAATACGTAAAGTAAACTCGCCAAAAAGAAAAAAATAGCCCAAAACTTGGAATCACTTCATGCTTCAGAATCCTAGTTAACACGCGTTGATTAATTCAAAGCTTCAACTCCCCCCCCTGGGCTAAAATTGCGTTTAAATGCCCTAAAATCGTATGGTTGTTAGAGTATACTTTCCTTTACAAACAGGGTTTCTCGATCCTTACTGCCGGGATCTGGAAATTTAATTGAATTCCACCGGCCATGCGGGTTTGGCAATGCTTTTGGCTTAAAATCATTATTTTGGAATAACACAAAGGTGTAGGGTCAAAACAGAAATTATGTTTAACAGTAAGAAAAACTGAGGGCATGAGATCGTTCAGATGAGATAATATGTGTAAATTCTTATGGAAGACAGCCAGCTACTACTGTCATCTGCAGCCACAGGAAACTAGAGACTGCCCTCTTATAGCCCGTATATGTGGTCGAGTATGTTAGCGGAGCCTTCTGTAAATCTTCGACTAACAAAAAGTTGAGATCACTAAACACAATGGTATACCGATGTAGTTGTACCATGTTGTAATAAGATCACTCCATTTTGAGATCATTGCAGCGACTGAAAATTGTATCCAAACGATAACACGAGTCAAAGATGTTCGTTTCAGTCACGGATGTTTGCACGAATGTCAGGACTTTTCTATATCGCAGCCCTAACTAAAGGGCGAGGAGCCTTTCTGCGGTAATTGTTTTTAGCGTCAAAAAGATACGGAACCTTATAAATGAACAATAATAAAGCGTAAGATGCTCGACTAACAACAAAAACTCCTGTTTTGGAGTGCAATAGAGACCCCAACTGGAACACAGAGACGGCAAGAGATAGGATCGACGCATGGCTCAGGTTTAACCAGACAGAGAAGCAAGAGTTTGGACAGTGGATTCATGGGAAGATTCGTTTGGAACTGCAACTTAACACTGAAGAATCGGTACGTCCCCCAGGATGCTCCAACTGAGACGAAAGTAATTGAAAAGTAAAGAAAGTAAATTGAAACGGAAAGAAAGGTTAACTACAGGTAGAAATATCCTGTTAAGTCTGCCGAGCACGAATCGTTTAATTTCTGCCGTGTCACTTCAGTGTAGTGTGATGTTGACATTTCGATGCAATGACTTTACAGATATTTGTTCACGCGTTGTTCACCAGTATCCTTCGATAACTCTAGTTGTCACAATCGAATGACAAATGTTTCATTAATTATTTACCGCAAGTATTCAGTAAATAAAAGCCTTGAAAGACTTATGAAGGGGAGACGCAGACGGAACAATTATCGCCAATTGAAGGATAAAAGAAATCATTTAACTGCAGATGAAGCGAAAATTCAGTGGAATGAAATGACATCTGCCCAGCATGTTCGATCAACACATTTATTTATATTAGACCAATTTTTTATTTCAGTTCGCTTTTACGGTCTTCTTGTTATCAGAAACTTCGTTTATCTGCATGGTTTTCTTTCTTCCACCCATGGCAATAGCTTTGGACATTCATGGTATGAAAATTTTGAGTAACTCATTTGCAATATAGCCGTCCTACTGACCGCAGAATTATCAATTCAGTGGCAATTTGATTTTAGAGTGCAAAAACGCCATACGGTCTAATAAAGAACCAGAGAACGGTAAACTTGAATTAAAATAACTAAAGCATCAACAAAACCCTTTTCCCGAGGACAGAGCTGAATAATGAAATGCTACGTCAGCGGGTATGCGGTCAACTACGCGGGCTCAAGTGTCCTAGGTCTAAAATTTAGCGAAATTAGCGGAAAATAATAAGGGCTGACCTTTAAAACCGAGGAACTCTGTTTTCGTCGAAGGCACTTTCCTATTTCCAAAGGTTGAAAGGAGAAAATTAATTTTTGAAAATTTTTAGGGGGTGTACCAAATTTTTGGAGGTTGTTCTGTAAAAGAAAAGCGGCAAGGAAAACGACGCCTCGAAGCAACAGAATAGGAAATCAACCATGCGAACGACTCAAAATCCGTGTTTCCGCGGCAAAACCTGGCGCATGCGTATACGTTATTCAGCTCTGTCAGTTTGGCCCTAACGAGTATGTCTTTGGGCGACCCAA